GTTTGGAAAGAAGTTCTGGAAAGGAGGAAGCTTTTTCACAAAGTATGCAATGGCATTGTAGGAATCATTGTCACAAGGTATTTTGGGGACCAGAGGTGTGTGTTCAGAAAGGAACCAAACATGGTTCCCAGGGGTAGGAAAAAGCATCAGTGGTAATGCAACATCACGGTCCAAATGCAACCTCCACAGCCCCTGGAGTGCACATTACCAAGGCTGGGTGGGGCAGCCTGGGACAATAAAGCCCTGTCTCCTGGAAGGCTTGTGCAGCCCCAGCGTAGATCAGGTTGGTTGAGGAAAGGTGATGCTGAACAGAGAGATAATACAATACAGCATCAGATTCTTACATAGTCCCCACTGGGCTCTGCTCCTGGGAGTGAAATCCTTGTCTGAAGCCTGGCACTGCAGGTCAGAGTCTTTGCAGCAGGTGCTTTGAGTTGGGTCTAGTGCCTGTCTCTGCTGCTGCAGGTATTCGATCGTGCTTCTGGAGCCTGAAAGCAGTGAGTGGAGCCTGTGCCTTAGTCCCCCTCACCAACCAGTTCAGACACAAGATGAGGCTATTTCTACCCATCGCTGTTGGCCCAAAGGGCAGAGATGTGCCAAGCTCTAGGGATCCACCACAACACCACAGACAGGCCAATGTTGCTCCTACATTTTGGGGCGTGCAGGGTGGGGGGGAAAGTCATTTTGCTTTTGTAGTACTCTGGGGACTACCAGATGAAATAACTCATGCTTGAGAAGTCCAGCACCCAGGAGTCAAACGATGCTAACGGACCTGGGAGCCTGTGCAGTGGTTACTTGTCTCCTTGTGCAGCTGCAGCATTACAGCTGCAAGTTACAGGATCACTATTTTTTATTATGTAAAGGTTGACAATCTGCAATTACCTGCATGGGAAAGAGATTTCCAAAGGCAGATGGCTCTTTAATGTATCAGGAATAAGCCTAGGAAGTTCCAGTGGCTGGGAGCTGAAGCCAGACACATTCAGATGAGAAATAACATACTTGGAGGCTAATTAGGCGTGGGAGCAATTTGCTTAAGGTTGCAATAGGTGCTCCATGACTAGCAAGTGTTGAATCAGAACAGGAGATCTATTTCAGAGACGTGCCTGCGCTCCAGTGAAAGCTGAGGTCCTGGGAGATGTGGCCGTGGAAGATGCCCTGGGAGAGGTCAGATTTGAGCCACAGTTTCACATTATAGAGTTGTCAGTACCATCTCATGGTGTTGCAGCCCTCCTGCTGTGCTCTCCCACAGCTCATTCCTGACCTGTAAGGTGTCGTGCCAATACCAGCGTTTCCAGGACAGTGCTGTGTACTGGTTTGAGTGACAGATCAATGTTAAATTACATTTTTCTCAATGCTTATTTAAAAGCAAGCTTGAGCCTCAGTTCTAGCTCAGTGCAGAGCTCCACAAAGGGTAATGCTGGCACAGGATGCTGGCACACAGGCAGCTGCAGGGGTAAGGAGATGGACATATGGGAGCTCAGTGACTTTGTCTCATCCTCAGTAACACAAACTCCCTGCTTGAGGCTCCTGTTCCTCCACAGGCCACTGGCATGTTCTGTTTTCCCACCTAGAGGTGCTGCCTCAGCAGATATGGAAGACTTACATTTGCCCAGATTCCTGATACGTGGAAGTCTGGCCAGGGATACTGCAGGGGCATGCCCTGGGGCTGCCACCCATCTGAGTTACGGGGCATTGCTATGGTAGTTGCCCATGTTGCCTGCGCAGCGCGGGCTGAGCCTGTCCTACTGCTCCTGGGGTGGAGTTACCGCACATGCGCTGCGCGGTCGACTGGTCCTCACAGAGAAAGCCCAGTGTGTAGGAAAATGGCAGATTTACTGCGCCAGCCCAGCCCATCTGTGCAGCACATGTGCAGGGATCTGAGCCCTCCCGGAAGCGTCTGGTTTGCTCTGCCTGCGCCATGCTGCACACATGGATGTCGCACAGTCCAGGAAATCCCAGATAAAAATGTTCCAGTGCTGGTCATTTGGACTGTATGGATCTTCACTGGCCTCACAATCTGTGGTTTGAATAGCACAGGTGCTACAGGAATAAAGGGATTAGTAACATCTGTATTCCTAAAATGAGGATATTTGGATACCTGTGCATCACTGCATCTCCACCTGCCCTGGGCTTCTATCTCTTGCTTGTGCAATACCACTTGTTGGCTGTTGTGCTGCTCTAGGTTTCCTCTGGAGGGTAGAGACCATTGCCTGAGTCATCTGGGGCACTCCAGGCGCAACTCCACCATTAGGGCAGGACTTGAAGTTTTACCAGGAGCTTTTGAACTTCACCCTTCATAAAACTCATTAAAAAGGGGGGGAAAAAAAAAACCAACCAAAAAAAAACCAACAAAAAAAAAACCACCCAGAGACGGAAAGCAAAATTTGAGCTAGATATGCATCTTTTATAGCAAAATTTGAAAATGACCAGAACTAACTGATTTATTTCGCTCTTACAGAGACAGAAGTGGAACACTAAGCAAGCCAGGGCCTTTTCTGTCCTGCCTGTGGTCTGCACTGTGCAGCCTGTGTCCTAGAACAATATTTTCTCAGGAGCTTTTTAACAACAGGTCAATGAGCTTCCCAGAGACATGAGAGATGGGACAGATGGACGTCCTGCTTCTGTTGCTCCAGGGATGCTGGAGGTTATACCGAGGGTTTGCTTTGCTTTTCAGTCCATGCTCAAAGACCACTGTCGTGGGTGTGTTTGCAGCAGGGCTGTAGGCACTGTGGAAGTGGTAAGGAAAACTGGAGAGCTGCTTCCTCCAAGCTCGGTCTGCTCATGGTTTTGAACTGTGAGTGGAGAGTGCCAAGCTGAGCCTGAAGAGGTCATCTAGTAAAGTCCAGGATGGTTTATTTTGTGGCCAGAACATAAAGCATTTGAGGTCAGAAAGCAAGCTGGGCTAATCTTCAAACCTGATTGCAATATATCGATCTTCACACCCAATATAGATTGTGTTCATAATTTCAACTTAGAGTTCATTAGTTCACTCTTGTACACTTCAAGCATTACACTTTAGGCAGCAGTCCCTGTATTGAGCATTTAAGGCCTGGGAGCTGGGTTTTTTTGATCCCTTTGGCATATTTCTGCACACTTTGTTTTGCAGAACAGCAGCCTCTCCACAGCAGTGTTTGCCAAATCCCGTTTTCCCTTTGAGCCAGATGAGCTGTGAGAGTTGTGCGGAGCTTGCACCTCACTGGGGCTGGTCCAGCTGGTCTCCTTGTCCTGCTCAGCTGGGGAGGAACCATCCCCAAACCAATGCCCTGGCTGACCCTCAAGAAAGATGTAAAATCATTTCTGAAAGGGGAGCCTGGGCACCGAAGCTTGCGGCATGGCTAGGCAGCAGAATCGGGGATACATCAGTGCTGTGGAGTTTTACAGCGTGTTATTGTTTTTCTATTTCTAATTGTACCTCTTCCCTCTCTGTCTGCAGGGATTTATTACTGCTGCCTTTGCCAGTGTCCTCTTATGCTTCAGAGGGTCCAGCTGCCCTTTTGTCCCAGTATATAATTGACCATAGTCATTAATTTAAAGGCAGAATGATTGTTTCGGAGCTATATTTAGTCTGAAGTTTGCTGCTCTTGTTTCAGACCTGATTAGAGGCTCGTGTGCCGGAAAGCTTGCTGCTCTTCCCTGCCATGACAACTGCTCTGACAAAAGGTCTCATCTCCCCTCCCAAACCTTCCCTTCCCACCCTCAGTCATGGGGCTGTCCTAGGGGAGTTGGGGTCGCAGGACCCAGTGCCACTCATCCCTGTGTCCCAGTGGAGTCAGGACAGCTGTGTGATTCCTGTTGTGTTCCTGGGATCCCGGTGCATCAAAGAGCAGCCCGAGACAATACAGCTTCGGATTCTTGCTCATCACGTTTGCTTGCTCAAGCCAGTGTCTCTTGTCACGTGCACACGTTGTCACTCCCAAAACGCATCAGCCATAGAGTGCGCATTATTCTACTGAACAGAACAGCGTGCCTCTCCAGTCGGTGTGTTTCCCTTCATCTGTTTTCATGCCTGTGCCCCTCAGCAGAAGGATATAGTAACTGCTTGGGTTTCCTTGTGGGAGCTGCAGTTTTCCAAGGTGCAGTTTGGATTGCTGGAGCCAGAGCGGGACCACCTTGGATGGCAGCAAGCCTGTGCTAGAGGCTGCTGCTGCGGTGGTTGCATACGATCCCCAAGACTGGGAATTGCTTTGGTTTTGGCATCAGTGGCATAAGCAGTTATACGCCTGGGCAGCCTCAAGTCTGACTCAAATAGGAGCTGTCTGGAAGAGGTGTATTTTCTGTAAGGTAGTTGGGTCACAAGCCATCAGGAGACTTATACGTGCATGGGAGTGCTGTGGTTAGTCACAAGAATGGGACAAACCAGAAGAGCACCCAGGTCAGAATCCCATCAGTTTGCTAACAGCCAGTGCCAAAGAGTGAGCATCAAAAAAAGGGAAGCATGTAGCAGTATTTGTCCAGCCCATCCTCCAATGCTCAGGGGCTTTGTGAGCTGGAGGTGGCATCTTTGCATCTAATAGCTTTGCTGGTTTTTATTACCATTTTCTTCCATTTTTCTAGTCCTTTTTTGAATCCGGGAAAGGAGTTCCTCAGCTTAAATACATGTTGGGTGAAGAAGTGTCTCCTTTTAAGATGGGCATTTAAAGCTTTTTCTTTAATCTCTATTGAGAGTCATTGCAGTCATAGAACTAAGTACATGCTTCAAGATCTTGGTCCTGAAACACTGTTGTGTTCCAAAGGCTCTCCCTACCTGCCCCAAAATGATGCTCAGAGCTCTGCTGCCACTTGGATTTCACTCCATTATTCTCAGTTGTGCTTGTTGCAAGCACTTGTATTAAGTACAATTTATTCTTTCCATTTAAGGAGGCAAAGGTTTCATTAGAAAGGGACTGTGAGTGTGGTGACCGCCGTTGTTATCCTGTTGATGTAGGATGGACATTGGTTGTTTTAGGACTTCCCCTGTGACAACATCGGGCTTATGTGGTTTATTCCTCTGTTTCCTATAGGTTCATGAAAGTGGCTGGCAGCACGGTGGATGCTGTTACCTGGCAACAGTAGGTATTCACCATTCCTTCTACTTTCCAACACTAATTGCAGTGATCAGAGGATGCTGGCAGCAGAGCTGATGTGCTGTCTCGGTGTGAAGGGGGGCAGATGCGTGACAGCCACCTCCTCTGTCCTCCTGCTTCGTTTAAATAGGTGAAAGAGGCTTTGTCCCTCCCTTTGGAGCCTCTCAAACAAATAGAGGAGGGGATGTATTAACCTTTACCACTGCAGCTGAGATGGAGCCTAAAAATACCATTGCCTGCATGCCTGGCCAGCCTGATTGCTGGAAATAAAGCCGGTGCTGGACCGCTGAGTTCCCAGAGACAGCGGTAGCCAGAGTGGGGATGACAGGGAAGCAAAAGCCATGTGTCACAGATGTATGGGACTGAAAACCCTCTTTCTTTCACCCTATCACTGTCCCCTGATTCCTACATGTGCTGCAGTTCAGAAGGGGCAAAGCAAGCTCTGAGCTGTAGCACTGACTGTGACAAGCGCCAAGTGGAGGGAAACTTTTCTTATTTGGGAGGAAAATCCATAAACATCTTTTCCTTCTCTTATTTCCAACTGCCCCAGTTGGCACTCTGTGGGCAGAGGTGGGTTCCCCAGCAGGCTGTGGCTGTCTGCAGTGGGAGTGCAAATGCCAGTGCAAGCACAGCAGTGAATGCCAAAATTGATAGAAAAAGGGTTTGTGGGGCAGGCAGGACTCTGTCCTGACACAGGAAGGACACATTTTAGAGACACGCATTCACTGAAGCAAAAACCATGGTCAGACCCCCATGTTCCCAGGAAAAGTGGGTTTGCACTGTCACTGGGTTAAACTTCCCATGTGGTGCGCTGGCTTTGAGCACGGGAGCCAGGGGTCTCAGGTCCAAGGTGGGCTTGTTCCCCAAGGGTCCTGGGCAGCGACCCTTCATGGGGTGCTCAGGCCGCTTTGCTGGAGCGTAGCACCGTGGTTTGTAAAGCTCATCTGGAGACTTGCTCTTAAAAAGAGCTTGGCGGGGTTTGAGGCATGAGGTTTTCTTGGAAGTGTACCCACTGTCTCTGTGTTGGTGTGTTAACCTTGGAGCCTCCTGCAGAAGCAACTGTTGGCATCTCAGAGTGGTTTATAGCACCAGGCTTGACCAGCATCCAGCAAGCCCCATTCCTCAGGGAGCTTATCTTGCCTCGCTGTGCTGTAGCGTTGCTTGCTTGGGTATTTGGCTCCTGGTTCTTCCCCACCAGGCAGAAGCAGCTCGCTGCAATGGGGGCAGTGGGGTAGCAGAGCATTTAGAGCAGGATTTGTGTTACTTACAGGCTCATGCTGTGCAATGATGATCTATGTCTCAGCTGGGAGTTTGCTTTTCATGATTACACGATGTGCTGATCACATTTACTTCGTCCAGGAATTTGCTTTCTGCAGCAGGGCTTGATCACTGGGCCAAGCCCTTGGATGAGTTGAAGGAACAAACTTGAGGCTTCAGATGTGGAGTTTCATCCTGGTGTGCAGGGAATCTGCTCGCACGGCTGCTTTGAAACCTTTTCTTACAGAATCAGTGCAAAGTGCTAGGTGGCTCCGGTGCCGAGCAGCGGCCGGCGAGCGGGAGGGCTGGTGCAGCTCCCCGCAAGGGTCGGCAGGGCTGAGGTGCTGCTCGCTGATCCATTTCCACTGCAGCCTAGGAGCCGCTTCTCCTCCAGCCCCGGTTTGCAGTTCTGGAGATTGCACCCATACGCGTTTGTGAGGACTGGCAATGGCTACAGCTCCGAGCTGGGCTTCCGTACTGTTTATGAATAAATGTCAAAACACTGTCTCATCCCTCTGCTCCAAACAGCAAAACAAAACAAAACAAGTTCCTTTGTATCCAAGAAGAAAATTATTAGCAGGAAACTAAACTGCTGTCTAACTTCAAGTATGAATATTTCTGTTCCAAACCCTAACATTCTCCTGGGATATTGGTTATAAATTTGTCAAATGTGTTAATCCTTTGAAAAGGCTGTGCTCGTTTCAGAAAGGGAATTGGGAAGGGAATACATTGCAGGGATCCCTATTCCCTGTGTGAAAACAGAATATATCTGAAATGTCTCTGACAGAAAAGTGACACTGGGTGGAAATAGGCGGCCTCGCCAGCCTTTCTGAGTATGGTTTCACTTACATATGTAACTCAGCATGTGTGCCTCCCTCTTCAGAAGTAATGTGTTGCTGGAGAGGGATGTGTGAATGGCTTCGAAACGCGGGGAGTTTGCACTAAAGGAGGGTGTGGCAGGTGGGACTGACAGTGGCTCAGAGAGTTTTGGCATTTCCCTGATAATTTCATTTGTTTGTTATGTTTGGTTATGAGTAAATGACCAGTTTACTGTGGACCCACTCAGCCTCTGGATGCGGGTTTCTACAGCTCAGAGACCTCCTGACATCCGTCTCTGCTCGGTGCCGGCATCCTCACATGTGATGGAGATTCATTGCATGTTTAAACCTGCAGCCATGCCCAGTTCTGTCCCTGGATGTGCTCTCTCAGTCTGTATGGCTCATTTTCCATCTGAAGTCTTGTGCACAGCTCCAAGTGTGGCATATTTAATGGACAAATCCTTACGCAATGCTGCCTCTGAAGCACAAATCCCTATTACTTAACAGGGAAAGTAAATGTTTGCATCTCCAATGCTGGTGGACATCTGTCCCTCTGGCTTCTTGGAGAATGCCATATTTTCTTGGGAGATGGAAGGTCACTTGTTCATTGGGGCAAATCAGAGAAGCCAGGCACATGGGCATGTGTGAGATGCTGCTTAAAGTGCTTTTGGCTGGGCTTGGAATGAGTGACATCTCTTCTGGCTTAGACATGTAGAGTGTGCAGGTGGGGATTCTCATGAGGCAGCAGCAGGGGACGGATTTCCCAAAGGTGCCAGGGAGAGTTGCCCAGCGTGCATACACATGCCAATGTATATACCAGGGGTATGTATTTGGGCTCATGTGAGCGTGCCGCGGGTGCTCAGAGCACGATGTCTTCGGAGGTTGTGGCTGGAGGAAGGGTTTGCTTGAAGGATTCGCTGGCCCATCTCCACCTGTAAATAAACCTGGCCAGCGCACGGCTTTGCCCACAGGCTTGCCACCCGCTGCCTTGTCTGATGGAGGGCACAGTCTCTGGCAGCACTGTGGCCCTGGCCACCAGCACGATCCCAGGCAATGCCAGGGCACGGCTGGGGAGATGTCATGGGCCAGAGACAGCTCCCACCAGCGGGATGGACAAAGGCACCTTGTCTGGAGGCAGGGAAAGGCAAAGTGAGTTGTGCCTTTAGGGCCAGAGAGCAGCCCCCAGATGGTCTTCTTGATCAGTGCATTTATTAATTGACTGGCGGTGGGCAACATCTCACCCCTGTCCACTGGTTTTTACCTGGGGGGAGCAGGTTGCATCCCACCTCTCCTCTCTGGGGGTGCAGTGGGGCTGCTCTGTGTCCTGTGCTGTAGATGGGGAGTCTGACCTCTCCTCAGGAAGATGCTCAGGGACTGGGATTGCCTTTGTCAGCAGAGGTGTCTTGGTTTCACAGCTGTGGTGGCAGCAGGGTGTCACGCTGATGGCAAGGACCTGCCCCACTCGGTATCCGCGGCAGGAGGGTGCCCTAATTCCTAGCAGACTCTCTCCTTAGCAGCAGGCAACAAAGTAGATCCGGAAATTCCTGAGCTTTGGGAAGTTGGCTTTAATGTAATTAACTGCAACAGAAGAAGAGGTCAGATAATAGGGGCAAAGGTTTCTCTTTTAAAATGAAAGAGGAGGTAAATGAAACCAGCTGCCCAGGAGCCAGTGCACTACCTTCATTAAGTATGGGACGATGCTCATGGTCCCATGCAGCAAATTGTGGATCTTTCCAGAGAACCATTTTAAAGGGAGTACAGACCTGGAGGTGACAGGACAGAGATGTGTAGCCAGCCCCAGGTTTGCCCAAGAGCCCTGGTACCCGACGCTGTCCTCTGGGGGGCTCTGGGGAGCTGTGTGCATCCTGGCCTTGCAGCCTGCCCAAGGACAAGGGCATTTCTGGCTGCCAGCTGTGCTTAGCCCTGCCTCAGTACTGTTCTCAGCTCTTGTCCTTGTGTTTTGAGTCGCATGCTTCAGTTCCAAACAGAAATGGGGGCTGGGAATTGGGGTGATGTATCTCCCAGCACTGGCACAAATCTCTGCCCAGCCCTTGGAGTCCTCCCCCTGTGCCATGCTCTGGTTTGGCCACTTCTAGAGTGACACAGTCACACTTCCCTTTGCAAAGTGCACTGATCCCATCCCAGCTTTCTAGGGAATATTTAAATGAGGGCTTTAGTGTAAACAGAAAGGGGAGAACTGGCCTCAGCTTTGTACAGTATAACAGGGCACCCAACGTACATGGCCTTTCCTTTGAGATGTATGTCTCATCTAGGGTTTAATTGCTAGATCCCTCATTTCTTGTCTGGCTCTTCTCATGTTCCTGCAGATTATCTGTCTACAGGGATAACAGCATCAGACTGGGGGACACCATGAGTCAGCCCTGCATGTAATTGCCCATGTCTATTCCCTCCTGTATTATGAGAAAAGGCATGGTCTGTGCCCATGTTGGGCATGTTGGTATCTCCTAGGTTTCAGGGTCAACTGGTGCTACATCATACCCCTAGCCCTCTGGAAGATCTGCCAGCCTGTGCTGGAGACAAACAGCTTGTCAGTGAGCTCCATGTCCTCTGCTTCTGCAGAGTCACGTCTGCCAGAGACCCCTGCCCATGCTGGGAAGGGTCTGTCCATTCTTCTCCTTTGGCACTCAGACCTTGCTGGCAACTGGAGATGAGGATATGGGTGCTGCAGCCCCTGGGACTGGCTCAGCCTGGCTGCTTGTGCACTGTGCTGCTGCCTGGGAAGGTACTTGTCAGTGCAGGAGCGCTCTGCAGCTGCTCCTGGCTTTTTTGGAAGTCGCAGAGTTGCGACTGTTCAGGGTTTGTTGTCTTTTTTTTTAAAGTCAAGTGCACTGAGTCATTGTAAATATCAGCAAAGCTGCAGCCTTTGCTCTTGGGAGTAATCCACGCCTAACGAGCGTTTCTCCTGCTTTAAGGCCTGTCAGTTGTTCCTATTTTGTGAGTTTCTATACTGCCTGTACTGACGGTTCTCAGAAGGAAATGCCCTGATCTCAGTGATGAAGCCTACAGCTGGAAACAGCTCGCCCCTTCCTGAGTAGCCTGGTACCAGTGAAGACCCCAGTGCCTCTCTCTTCCTCACAAGACTTGTGCAGCTGGTGCCATTTTCCCTCTTTGCCAGTCTAGGGAGGTTGAAAGTACCGGTTGGTGTCCAAAAATTTCCCAGGCAGGTCTGCAAGAGATCCATGTTCACCTTAGAATCATAGAATCACAGAATGGTTTGGGTCGGAAGGGACCTTAAAGACCATCTAGTTCCAACCCCCCTGCCATGGGCAGGGACATCTTCCACTAGACCAGGTTGTTCAAAGCCTCGTCCAGCCTGGCCTTGAAGATGGCCAGGGACAGGGCATCCACAACATCTCTGGGCAACCTTAGAGAAGCTTGTATTGTCTTCATGCTCTGCTTAAATACCCAAAGCCAAGGTGCTCCCCTCCACACTCCCCCAGAAGACTTGATACCAACAAGATCTCCTGATACTGAAGTGGTTTTATTTTAGCCTTTCATCCCTCTACCAGTCCCCATTCCTCTGGGTTGTTAATGAAAGTGTCAAAAAAATGTGACCGTGGCACTGTTGGCTTGCGCAGACAAGCTGAACCTTACTGAAAGCCTGCTGCGTTGGAGGGGCCATGCGCAGACCAAGGTCTCTCTAACCCCATCTTTTCCCAGTCAATGCAACCTTCTTTTTATGGCCTTTCAGCCAGTTTTCGACACAGCTGACGGGGCTGTTAGTCCACAGCAGTCTGAAAAAATCGTTTCTGTTCAGTTCTTAAGTGCTGCGCTAAAATCCAAACATCTGCCATCCCTAGAGTCCATTGCTTTGTAATTTTGTCTTAAAAAGTAATCTCTGTAAACCCCACGGCTGCCTGCTACTCACAGATCTGCTCTCCTCCCAGCAGCCAGTGGTTCGATAGTGTATAAGTGATCAGAATGGTTTTGAACACTTCCTAAGTCCTCCTCAGACCTTGCCCTTTGCACCTGCCAGTCACCACAGGCATACAGAAAAGCCTCTTGCCTCTTTCCCCGGGTTACATGTTGGAGTGAAGTTGAGGTGTGACTGGCATGTTCCTGTGCTTTGCTGGGGACACAGCTGGGACCGCATGTCCGGGGAGGGTTGGCAGAGGAGGTTCTTGTTATTTAATGCATTTGCACTTTGAGCCTGTGTCATGCATTTCTGATCTGGGACTGTTAGTGCTGGTGTAGTTCCCCCTTCACCGCAGCCCTGCACAGCTCCAAGCCCTGCTCAGCTCTAAGTGCATTTACTGCATTACCCGGGTAGTGACTTGGAGCAGTGAGAGACAAAAATCTTCTCTGAGCACTCATGCGTGTTGCATGCGTGCTGGGTGCTCTGGCTGAGGCTGAGTTAGCCCACAGCACCCATTGGGGATGCTCCTGCATTCCAGCACCCAAGTGAAGCAGCCACTACAGCTGCTGCCTGGTGCAGATGAGATGCACGTTATGGAGAAATCAGCCCTGGAAAGGTGAATCCACCTTTCTTCAGACCCCAGGTCTTACGCATCGCAGCACCCGTGGATGCGCTGAAGCCTTTGGAGAGGGAGAAGGGTCTGTGTAATCGGTGAACACTGAGCGGACATGGATCCAGTGAGGGATGGGAGGCAGTGGCTGACCCCTGCCAGCCCCAGTCAGAGCCTCTATAATTCCTGCGCACCCCTGTCCCCCCAGCACGGCTGACGCACTCCGGGGCTCGCTGTGTCAAGCAGCTGATGCACGCTGCAGATTTGGGAGAAGGAGATTCAGGAAGTCTCTCTTGCAAAACCTATTTCTCAACCAAATGACCATCCCGGAGTATGCCAGTGAGTGCTGTAGTAGACCTCCTGGTGTCCCTGCAAGGCTGGGAGGAGCCTCTGGGACATGTGCAAGGGCTGCCACTGCTCCTTGTGTAAGGACAGAGATGCCAGCCCCAGACACTTCCACAGGAGCAGCTGGTTGGGAGTATCTGAGGGAACTGGGCTTGTTTAGCCTTGAGAAGAGGAGGCTGAGAGGAGACCTGATCACTGCCTACAACTACCTGAAAGGAGGTTGTGGAGACGTGGGTGTTGGTCTCTTCTCCCTAATGACAGATGATCGGACGAGGGGGAATGGACTCAAGCTGCGCCAGGGGAGGTTCAGATTGGATGTAAGGAAGAAGTTCTTCACCGAAAGGGTTATCACACACTGGAACAGGCTGCCCAGGGAGGTGGTGGAGTCACCATCCCTGGATGTGTTTAAGAGACGGGTGGATGAGGTGCTGAAAGATATGGTTTAGTGGTGGACAGATACGGTTGGACTGGATGATCTCTAAGGTCTTTTCCAACCTAGTGATTCTATGATTCTATGATCTCCAGCCACAAGGTATTTGCACTTCAGGACAGACTGCTTCACCTTATGTCCTGGAGCAGGAGACTGTATTGAAGCATTTCAGAGCCTTCCTCCCACGCTTAGAGACAGATGATTCACATCATGATTGGCAGCACTATAGCTGTGTTTTATATAGGAAAGCACATGGAGAGCAGGAATCAGCCCTCGGCACAGGAAACACTCCCTGGCATTCCCAAGGTGGAAGGGATTTCTGTGAGAGCAGGACTTTCCCTGCAGGTAGTGGCCATGGCATTTCTTGAGTGGGGGATTCAGGTGTGGGGGATACATCTGGACAGAGCAATGCAGTTATTCCCACAGCTGGGAGCATGGGCAGCCTCCCCCATCCCCTCCTGGATGTTTACTGCAGCAATTTCCAGTGTCTCTCAGAGGGTATTTGCTGCTCGGGACCCTGCTGCAGACCCTGGAGTCTGCATAGAGTCCTCCTGTGGCTAAGGCGCACTTCAGTTCAGCCATAGATTTGCATGTCCTGGTTTGCCATCCCATAGTAGCAATCTTTCCAGTAGAAATGATACTGGGCCCTGGACTGAGTGGCTTATCAGCATTTTGAAAACTGTGTCCCTAGGACAGGGGACGGGTACAGGTGGGATGAGCCGGGTGAGTTGAAGCTTTCCCAAGATCTCCCTGGTTGTGGAGCCTGGGTGCTGCTGTCACAGGCATTGGGGAGGGGGATCTCCTTCCATGGGGTCTCCATGAGATCGGTGCAGAGGGTGCTGCAGAGCCTTGGCAGGTGGTGGTTTGCTCCCAGCCTTTGACACTTTGCTTGCAGTCCTTCACCAGCAATAGTTGAGAGAGTGCAAAAGTGTGCTTTTTGAAGTACAGCGCGGAATGCTCAGTGTTCAGGGTGCCTCCGCCTCATGCCGTTTTCGAGACTGGAAGCATCTGCCAGACACAGGCATGGCCGGAGGGCCAGGGCAGGGAAGGATGCAAGCAGGGACTCCTCCAAAACAGCGGAGGCTTTGTGTTGTGGGGCAGCAGTGGGACGGGAGGACATGGTTTGGGAGAGAGCTACTCCCAGCTGTCTGATCCTTGCCTTCTTATTTTCCTTCCAGTTACTACATTGACAGACGAGTGGCCAAAGTGACGGACTTCCTGAAAACGCGGCTGTTGGACACGCTGTCTGACCAGATCAGGAAAATCCAGAAAGTGCGTGAGTGCCAAGGGTCTGCAAGGGACGAGGGAGCATCGTGCCCAGCCTTGGCACAGCTCCTGGCCAGGGCTCTGGTGTCAGCACCGACGCACTCCGAGGGGAGCTGGCGTGGGGCCGGGATGGAGAGCGGGTGCTGGGAGCGGCTGTGCTCCCAGCCTCAATCCAGCCAGCCCTCATGGGAAGGAAGACCAGGCAGCACCATGCCTGGCCCTGGGGTGGGGTGTGCGGCAGGGAGGGAGGGAAGTGGGCATGGGATGCCGCGTGGCGCGGGTGTGCTGGGTGCACGGGGCAAGGGCAGATGCTGCTGTGCAAAGCTTTCCTAAAGCAGCCAACTGGCTTGAGTCTCCCGTCTGTCCATTCCTGAAGGGAGCAGCATGTAAGGTGGGTGTTCTCTGAAACTCGTTCCCGAAGACAAGGAGAGGAGCAGCCAGGCGGTACCAAACCGTCCGGAGCGCAGCTGGGGCCGTGCCTGCCCAGGAGGCAGCTCCCACCACAATACCTTGTCCCTCACTCACAGTGCCTAGAAATGTTTGCGAAGTTGTGACAGTTGCATTTCCAGGGTGCTTTTCACCAGTGGAGAATCCTGATCATTATGAGGAACTGGATTTTTTCCCCCGGTGGTTATCTTTTACTGTGTTATAAAACCCAGCTGGCGTGCTGTGTCCCAGCCCATGTCTCTGCCCGGCCAACGCAGCCCGCAGCGAGCACTCCTCGACCCGCCGGCTGGGGCACCCGGATCGCATCTCTAGCAACTGGGTAGAGGATGGGGGCTTTGCAGGGTCCCCTCGCTTTGGCGGATGTGGGGGACAGGGCTGTGACTGGCCTGCTCAGCTGTCAGTCCCAGAAGAAATAAGGAACACCTAGTAAGCAGGGAAGGCTTTAGGGACTAGAGGAGATGTCCGTCTGCCCGTCTTGTCTCGGTTTTCATACCATACCAGTCACCACAATGCCTTACTGTTGTAAGTCCTTCAGGGAGAAACCATTGGATGAGGAAACTACTCAAAGAGGCCCCGGGAAAGGGGATGCGAGGGTCGGCACAGCAAAACTGGAGGAGAGGAGCCTCTTGCTCAGTCTTCTGGTACAAGCTGGGAATCATCCACACATGTGGATGATCCTCCTGCTGTGGGGAGGCATGGTGGGGCAGCCGGCAGGATCGGCACAGGTGCAAGTGAGAGGTACTGGCCAATCCTGCTCCCGCCGGAGCTACAATACCCCACCAAAAGTGATGGCACGTGTCCCACCTCTGGTGCGGGTCGGGAACCTGCTGGGAAGGGAGCATGAGTCCATCCATCCCCAGACCGAAGCTGCCCTTGGTGTGTGTTGGGGGAATCCTTGCACCCACAGGGCAGGATTTGATCTGTGTGAGGCAGTGAAGGGAAGGGCTCTCCTGGGAATGCCAGTGTGGCTGAGCAAAAGCACAGTGCTGGGTGCTAATAGCCTCCAGCTTGGCTTTGAGTCCGCGCATCCTGCCGGGGCTGATTAGAGCAGCTGGGCTTGTCCACTTCACTGTTTTATTGCTTCCTCTCCGACCGGGAAGGTGGCGGGCTTAGATAATTACAGGCAGGATGCCAACACCTCTGGGGCTTCAGTCAGGGATGTCGACTCTCACAGGCTGTGAGTGGGAGGCAGCCCAGAGCTGGCGTATTTAACATCTTTGAGGGATCCCAGTCCATCCAGCACATTCCTGTGCTCCTCACTAATGGGGCAGGATCCATCAGGCTGCACAGAGTGCTCCTCGGGCTGCTGGGTTTGCAGACATCTGGTCACAGGAGCTTGTCGCCCGGCCTGGAGAAGTGGGATTGCTGGAGAGAGGATGGGGTGCTGTGCTGTGCTGAAGGTTGCTCACACTGGGAGAGGGTAGCTCTGGCCACCCAAGACCTCCTGTCCCGCCTGGCATCTCAAGGGTGGCTGTGCTGCTGTCTGGAGCCTGATAAGGGTTGGGCCAGCATGCTGGGACCTCCATGTCCCACCTGTGCCAGACCCTCGGGTGGCAAAGAAACCCGTGCTCAGCCATGGGTCTGGCTCTACCTGTGCCCAGGAGCATCCACTGCTTTCTTCTTGGGTCCCCACTGTTTCTCCATGTGGCTCCAGTACGTGTTCCGGTGCTCTCACGCTGCAGAACCACTGGGGCTCGGGTGCTCCCTGTGGCTGGCAGCCACGCTGCGTGGGGACACGGAGAGCTGAGGCGATGTGGCAGGGCAGTCTGTGGGACGGAGTGTGTGCGGAGATCATGGGGAAAGAGCAGGGTCCAGGTTTGGGAGCATGAGAGCGTGTTTGGGAGGGCATGGTGGAGACAGGAGAGAGTGAGGAAGATCCTCCTACCACCCAGACACAGTGAAGACATAGTGACCATGCCAGGGCCAGGCAGGCACTGACCACCCAACAGAACCATTACCGAAGGTCTCCGTAAGCTTTCCCAGGGTGTGGGACAGGAGATGTCTGCCTTGGCTTTAAATCACAGGTTCATGAGGGTCATTTTTGTGGCTTTTGTCTCCCGTGCAGGTAGTGAACACGTACACGCCGGGGAAGAAGATCTGGCTGGAAGGTGTTGGTGCAACCTCGTCCGGAGGCATGAACAACCTCTCCGATTCCTATGCGGCCGGGTTCCTGTGAGTTACACCGGCTCATTGGCGCCAGAGCACTGCCACCCCCGTGGGCTCGGGTGCTACAAAGCTGCTGCAGCCAGGAGAGGGCCAGTTCTGTGCCCAGAGGCCCCACCTGTATCCCCCTCAGTACTCCCCAGCAGCCTGGGAACTGTTATTTATTCCATAGCATCCCTATTATCCCTCCTTAGCTCAGCTTCCCTGTAGGTGACCCAGCGTCTGGCATACCCGGAGTGAGGATGTGCAAGCCGGGCACACCTGGGGTGGCTGCAGAGCGGGGAAGAGGTGTGCAGCCTTTCCAGGGCAGGGATGTGGGAGCTGGTTAATACCCAGCTCCCAGAACCACCTGAAGGCTTCAGTTTGGGTGCTGGCAGCAGGCTCCAGGGCGGGTGCGAGAGCGATGCCGTGTGCCGGAGCACGGCTGTGCCAGCAGGGCCAGGCAGTTCCCTGACTCTGGTCCCTCCATCCCCAGGTGGCTGAACACGCTGGGCTTGCTGGCCAGCCAGGGCATCGACGTGGTGGTGCGGCACTCCTTCCTTGACCACGGCCACAACCATCTGGTGGACCAGAACTTCAACCCCTTGCCGGTAGGTCTGCCCGGGTGACGTTGTGCTGGTGCTGGCTTCTCCCCACTCATTTGGGGGGGATTCTCTGCTTGAAAACGAATTTTTGCAGATCTGTTTCTTGCAGTATTAATGAGAGACGTTAGTTCGTGTCAACACGTTGGAAACAGATGGGAGAACGATACCTCTGTAGCTGAAACTTCATCTAGCGCCCAGGGTTGGTAGCATGGCAGGAAGGCTGGTGCCACCGAGGTGTGTCAGCGTGGACTGCGGAGTTGCAGGGAGGGAGGGAGGTGGCAGGGCCACCATGCAGGGCACACGGCAGGCAGCTGGATCACTAGTGGTGAGCTGGTCTGGGGGCAGCCAGGCTGGAGCCTCAGCACCTGACTTCAGATCTCTAGAAAGGGAGGTGAAGGGTATTTGAAGGTCATTCCTGGCTTCACTGGGAGCAGCAGTCCTCACCAGTGCCCCGCAGCATCCCTCACTCTTCAAAAAAGCCTGGGCAGGGGGAACTCCCAGCACACATGGTGCTGATAAAGAAACCATATGAAAAACCCTGTTAAAAGTAGCAGGTTTCCTTTTCCTTGGGGAGGAGGGGGCTAGTAAATGCACTGTCTTGTAAGCAGAGACCCTGGCAGAGCGGCTGGGCGCTCTGCATCTCCCCTGGAAGGGATTTATGGGTCCGTGACCCAGCAGACGCTGCCGGTGGGCTGGGGATCCATGTCGGAGAGGTACACAACCCTGCTGCTGCAAACCTGCCTTTGATGCTGTGCTGGGATCTCGGGGGGG